TCTCCTTCTGTAAAGATTACAGCCTTGGAAACCCTACGGGGAAGTTCTACTCTGTCCTGTAGGGTCACTAGGAGTCGGAATCAACCCGACAGCACACAGCAACAACTGCCTTTGCAGCAGCCAGGCCAAGACATGGTTTTAGGCAGTTGAATTCGGTGTTCAAACTCACACAAAGTGTTGATTTCTTTTGGCTGCTCGCCTCGGGAGTTCTGAGCCTTCTAAACTTAGCCAGAAACAGCAGGTCTCTCTGCTCTGGAAGGAGCGGTATGCATTTTAATTTCTCAAAGAAAGTTTTCTATCTCCCCCACCTCAGCACACTCACATCCAGGAACAGAAAGCCTAAAAGCAGTTTAAACGATGACAAAGAAAATAGCACGTGGGCCTTACATGAGTTTGAGGTGCTACTGTTCAATTTTATAATCTATTTTTCCCCTCTAATTTCTAGGAAAGTTTTAGGAAAAGCACCAAACCAAACACCAGCTGCCATCACATCGATTCTGACTCATGGTGACCTCATATGTGTCAGCAGAACTGTGCTCCATAGGGTTTGCAATGGCTGAGTTTTCAGAAGTAGATTGCCAGGCCTTTCTTCCAAGGTACCTCTAGGTGGACTCGAACTTCCAACCTTTCAGTTAGCAGCTCAGCTTGTTAATGGTATGCACCACAAAATTCCATATTTGCCAAATTTTTTTACAGGGTTTTCTGTCCCTCAAAAAAAAAAAGTTTTAAAATTTCAGTTACTAACCTTAATATCATTTATTGATCTGACTGTTACAAAGGCTTGTTATCCCTCTTATCCAAGAGTCAAAATTTCAAATACCTACCAAGTGACTGAGTAGCCTGGCTACGCTAAGGCACTGGCAAGGGGTGGGGACCACGGCGACCTGCCCATGAACAGCTGTGGCCACCCAGCCAATTACCATCCTGCACAAATGAGAGCCAAGGATGCTAGGAATGATCATTGTTCCAAAGAAGCTGGATTCTGATAAGCAGTCTGCACATTTTATATGTTGGCAACTCATTCAGTTTGCTTTAAAAACACAGTACAGACCAAACAAAACACATCTGCAAACTGGATTAGGTGCTCTGCCTTCTAGTTTGTAGCAATTAGTGCCCCTAAAAGGGAAACTTCCAATGAATCAGATGAAGTATTAGTTTTCTATTGCTGCGTAACAAATTACCAAAGATTTCGCAGCTTAAAACCACACATACATACTCTCATGGCTTCTGTAAGTCAGGGGTCTGGAACATTCTAGCTGGGTCCACTGCTCTGAGAGTCACAAGGCTGAAATCTCATCTGAAAGTTCATCTAGGGAAAGATCTGCTCCCACACTCCCAGCAACCTGAGGGAGCTGTATGACCGAGGTCCCTGCTTTCTTGCTAACTCTTGACCACCGCCTATAGGTTGCTACCAGGTCTTCACCATGTGGCCTCTCTATAGGCCCTCTCATGGTTCAAATCTCTTCTTCCAGGAAGCGTTCCACTGATTATATAAGGCCCACCAAGGACAGTTTCCCTTTTGATTAATTCAAAGTCAACTGATTTGGGACCTTAGTTACATCTGCAAAATCTCCTCATATCTGTCATATAACCGTAACATAATCACGGTGTGAACTCCATCATATTCACAGTTCCGCCCAAACTCAAAAGGATGGAATTATACAGGGCTTTTACAGCAGGAAGTGGGAATCTTGGGAGCCATTTTAGAATTCTGCCTACCACAAATGGGCAAATGATCCAGTCACAAAAGTTTATCCGTATATTTGATTCACAAAGGTCCAACTGGGTATTCAATCCACATATTAAAATGAGGGTTTATAAAAAACCAGTTTATAAAAAACCAGTTGCCATCAAGTTGACACCAATTCTTAGAGACCCCATGTGTGTCAGAGTCTAACTGTTCCATAGGGTTTTCAGTGGCTGAGTTTTCGGAAGTAGATCGCCAGGCTTTACTTCCGAGGTGCTTCTGAGTAGACTCGAACCTCCAAAATTTCAGTTATCAGCTAACTGCCTTAACCCTTTGTAACACACAGGGACTCCAAGTATTTACGTTGTTGTTAGGTACTGTCAAGTTGATTTCAACTCAGAGTGACCCTATAGGACAGAGCAGAACTGCCCCATAGGGTTTCCAAGGCTGAAATCTTTAGGGAGTCGATTACCAGGTCTTATCTCGCACAGAGTGGCTGGTGGGTTCAAACTGCTGACCTTTTGGTTAGCAGCCGAATGCATAACCATTGTGCCACCAGGGCTCCTCCAAGTGTTCAGAGACGCTGACTAATCTCAAGATTTACGTCAGCGCACTCTCCCTTGTTACCCTTTTCTTCAGCTGGTGTCCCTAGAGTTTTCAGAGAGACCTGAGC